TGGTTCTAGTAAGTCATCAGAAGTTTGTACTAGTTTCAGTCTAGAAACACATTTGAACTTAGAAACAGAAACACATGTCAATTCAGAAACACATTTTAATATTGGTGAAGCCTTATCTCCAGAGAAAAATATTTCAGTACTCGTTTGGAATATTAATAAATTGTCTGACAAATTGCATGATGGGAAAGATGTACAGACATTTTTACAAGATTATCAAATTATTTTATTATGTGAGACATGGCTTTCACCAATTGAGGATATTGTTTTTGAAGGTTATACCTGTTACAATCTTGCTCGTAATTCTAATATTAGTACAAGTAATGGTCACTATTCAGGTGGGCTTGCAGTATTTATCAGTAAGGAATATAGTACAGGTGGTATTGATATATTACCACAATCCCATGACTTTTTTGTTTGGATAAAGCTAAGCGCCATCTATTTTAAAATTAGTGAAGATTTATTTATATGTTTTATCTATTTACCATTTAAAGGCTCTGTATATGAATTTGTTACAGGATCAAACAATGTTGACATATTAGAAATGTCAATAGCTTATTACCAAACCTTGGGTAGAACAATAATTTGTGGTGACATGAATGCCAGGACAGCTAATCTTACTGATAGTAATATAGATATACCTGGTAGCAATGGTAGTTTACCAATTGATATATTTAACAATAATGAGGCCATGTCTACACAAGAAAGTAGGGATAAAATTAATGATTTTTTCGGAATACGAGCTTCTATGGATAAGAATATAAGGGCAATCTCACAAACTCATGGAAGAGAATTTTTATCTCTTTGCAAATCAACAAACATGAAAATTCTCAATGGTCGTCTTTTTAGTGACAAAGAAGTTGGAAAATTTACTTGTTATCGAAACTATAGTCGTAATTGTGCGTCAGACCCTGACATTGGTAAATCTGTTATTGATTATGTAGTAGTTCAACCAATGTTAATTCCATTATTATCAGATTTTAAAGTACATGATAGAAGGGTAGAATCTGATCATGCCCCTTTACATTTTTCACTTTCACTGACAAAGACTGATCAAAAAACAAGTCTCGAAGGTAGAACATCAGATCGAAGAAAGAATATGAACATTAATACATATAAGTCATATAAATGGGAACCTGCAAAGAAAAATGAGTTTATACAAAAACTTACCGATCAAACTAGTTATGAATTGTTGAGCACTTTTTACACAGAATTAGGCTGTACTAATGTAGGATCAGATGAACTATTGAGGAAACTTTTAAGTGTTATACATCATGCATGTGAAGGTACATTTGAATTTAGACAATTAAAATCAAACAAAAACAATAAATTTCCCATAAATTCTTGGTTCACAGATGAATGTAAAATCCTGAAAAGAAAAGTTCATGGTGCTATTAAAAATAAACTTGATGATAGTCATATCGATCAACTTATTAAACAGTATAATCAAACTAAACAGAGGGAAAAAAGAAAATTTAAAGCAGGTATGTTAGAAAGCTTAGTAGAAAATAGATCAAAATGTTCAACTGATTTTTGGAAACTTATTAATGCATTGCCAGGAAATGTAATTAAAGATATACCAGTTCCCCCTGAGGCCCTATTAACTTTTTTTCAAAATCTGGCAAAGCCCCCAAACTTAGATTATTTTGATAACGAGGCACTCCAAAAGATGAATGACTATATTCAAGACTACATTCCAATTAATTCTTATTCTAATGACCCTAATTTAAATCTCTGCCATGATATCATAGATGACAGAATTAGTCAAATTGAGGTTTATAATGCTTTTAAAAGAGTAAACTCTAATAAATCAGCCGGCATTGATGGCATCCCATCAAACATAATTCGTAATTGTGAGGCTCTTATTCCAGATTTCACGGCACTTTTTAATGCAATATTTGACAGTGGAAATTATCCACAGGACTGGAGCATTGGTATGTTGAGTCCGCTTTTTAAACAAGGAAGTAGACTTAAAGCTGATAACTACAGAGGTATAAATGTATTAGCTTGTATCGGTAATGTATTTGACTCCATTATTCAAAATCGACTTGTTTTTAACGCACAGGTACAGAATATCCAAGATCCTCTACAGGGTCCATATAAGGAAAATAGCCGTACAATTGATAACATATTTTTACTACAAACATTAATTAACAAATCTAAACTGCTTAAAAAACCTTTGTTTACATGTATGGTTGACTTCAAAAAGGCGTTTGACTTTATAGATCGATCAGTTTTGCTATACAAACTCAGTAAAAGTGGCATAAGTCCTCATACCAAAATGTATAAAATCATCGACAATATGTATTCCAAATCTCAATCTTGTCTAAAGTTAAAGAATGGAGTAACAGATTATTTTGATACTGATATAGGGGTTTTGCAAGGTAGTGTGCTTAGTACTTTTTTATTCAATCATTTCATCGATGATCTTACTTTACAATTACCAGCTCACTGTGGTGTTATTTTAAACGGTAAAAGGTTAAATCATCTTCTATGGGCGGATGACCTTGTATTGATCTCAGAATCCAGTGACGGATTGCAGCTATTGCTTGACACACTTTTTTCTTTTTGTAAGACTAACAGGTTAATTGTCAACACGATGAAAACTAAAGCACTTATCTTCAATTCTAAAAGATCATTCAAATTTGAATTTAATGACCAAACTATAGAATGTGTCAAAGAATACAAATATTTAGGTCTCATTCTCACCAAAAATAACAGTTTTGATCTGAACACTAAGTACCTTAAAGAACAATCAAAAAAGGCACTTTTTAAGATAAAGCAACAATATAAGAAGTTTAATGATGTACCACCGGATGTGGCTCTTCATCTGTTTAATGCGTTAGTTAGTCCTATTTTATGTTATGCATGTGAAATATGGTATGATAAAAAGCAAATGAAAGCAATTGAGTCAATTCATTTGTCTTTTTTAAAGTCAACATTAGGTGTTAAATCACAAACTGCAAGCCCAGCTGTATATGGTGACCTAGGGAGATACCCATTATCAATCAAAATAGAATCTTACATTATAAAATACTGGCTTAGGTTTCAAAATTTTCCAGAGAGTAATATATTAAATCAAGCATACTTATATGATAGGGGTAATCAAGAGTTAGGGTTTAAAAGTTGGTCAAGCAAGGTTTATGATATACTCAGAAAATGTGATTTATTAGATTATTGGAATAATCAAAATTTGGATACTGAAAATCTGGTGAATATGGTTGAAAAGAAATTAAAAATATTATTTGTAGAAAAATGGAAAAATGATTTGAACACTTATCCTATATTGAGAACGTACAAATTATTTAAAAATGATTTTGGTAAAGAATTGTACTTGAAACTAGATAATAAAAAGTATAGATTGGCTACAAGTAGATTTAGAATGAGTTCTCATCAGTTAGCAATTGAGACTGGAAGACATACAAAGCCAAAACCAAAACCTTTAGAGGAAAGATTATGTAATATTTGTAAAGATGTAGAGGATGAATGTCATTTCTTTTTAGCTTGTACAAAAAATGATGAGAATAGGCAAATATTATATACAAAAGCCCGTGAAATTTTACCTAACTTGGATTTACAAAGTGAAAATTTATTTGTCAATCTTATTTCTAATAAAAATGTAACCTTGCAAAGACATATTGGCAAATTCATTTACCATTCATTTAAGAATTTAGCATGGTCATAATGCATTGTGTGTGCACCACACTATTATTGTTACCATATATATTTTTATATATTTTTTGTATTTTTTAGTTTAGTTGGTGTTTTGTAGTTTAGATATGTAGTCTACCATAGTTCTGACTAATGTAATCATGTTATGATACTATATGTCAATAAAAGTTATATATAATAGTCACACAGGAAGAGATATTACACAAAATACATAGTCACACAGTTTTTAATACACTTCATTACACAAATTATAGAAAATATTATCAATACATTACACTAATTATACAAGATCAAGAAAACATTCAAAATTTATAAGTACTAATGCACTGGTAAATAAAGTGTTTCATCTATCGATCAAAATAATGAAGGTGATGGTCTAATGAACCATGTAAATCATAATTATTTATTATGTATATTTTTCTTCATATTTAGGAATAAAATCCCGCCTTGGCTATATAGAGTATTTAGGCGTAGGTGCAATATGGTTAAGTCCAATACACACCTTTCCAATGGCAGACTTTGGATATGATATTGCTGACTTTAAGAATATTGATCCAATCTTTGGCAACATAGAGGATTTACAGATTATGATAAAAAGAAGCACATACAAAAGGTATGTATAGTTTAGTTTATTATATACCTTATATGTATTCTAGATGCTCAATGGCCTATTCATGGTCACATGATATGAAATAGATGAACTAATTCCCTGGAAAGTGCTAAATCCCTGATATCATAGAAGAAGAAATGTACTAATCACCAGTTAGGTCATGTGACCAGTCATTAGTACAATTTTTCTCCCCCTGATAGGTGAGATGATGGGAGGTGAAAGCCAAATGCCTTTAAATGCCAATAAGAACCTGTAAACATAAAATGTTGAAATGAAAATACTTCTCATTTTCTTCTTTTCTCTTTTTAAAACTTCTTTTCTCCAGTATGAATTGGATTATGTCTTACTAAGCTACTCCTGTCTGCAAATGTTTTAGAACAAATGTTACATTTAAATGGCTTTTCCCCAGTATGAATTCGATTATGTTTTTTTAAGGTAGATCTATGTGCAAATGCTTTTGAACAAATGTCGCATTTATACTGCTTCACTCCAGTATGAATGATTTTGTGTCTTTCTAAATAAGATATCAGTGCAAATGGTTTTGAACAAATGTCACATTTAAACTGCTTTATTCCAGTATGAATGAGATTGTGAGTTATTAAATTTGATTTCACTGCAAATGTTTTAAAACAAATGTAACATTTAAACTGTTTTTCTCCAGTATGAATGAGATTGTGACATGCTAAGTAAGATTTCAGTGCAAATGTTTTAGAACAAATGTCACATTTAAACTGCTTTTTTCCAGTATGGATAAGATTGTGACTTACCAAGTAAGATTTACATGTAAATGATTTAGAACAAATGTCACATTTAAACTGCTTTTTCCCAGTATGGTAAACATTGTGACTTACCAAGCTAGATTTATGTGCATATGTTTTTGAACAAGTTTCACATTTAAACTGCTTTTCTCCAGTATGGATGAGATTGTGCCTTCCTAAGTTATATTTCAGTGCAAATGTTTTTGAACAAATGTCACATTTAAAGTGCTTTTCTCTCGTATGGACAAGATTATGTTTTACTAAGTAAGATTTCCGTGCAAATGTTTTGAAACATTTGTCACATTCAAACTGTTTTTCTCCAGTGTGAATGAGTTTGTGAAGGGCCAAGTAAGATTTACGTGCAAATATTTTAGAGAAAATGTAACACTCAAACTGTTTTTCTCCAGTGTGGATGAGAATATGGCTTTCAAAGTTGGATTTCCTTGCAAATAATTTAGAACAAATATTACATTCAAACTGTTTTTCTTCAGTATGGATGAGAATATGGCGTACCAAGTAAGATTTACGTGCAAATGCTTTAGAGCAAATGTAACACTCAAACTGTTTTTCTCCAGTGTGGATGAGAATATGGCTTTCCAAGTTGGATTTCCTTGCAAATGATTTAGAACAAATATTACATTCAAACTGTTTTTCTTCAGTATGGATGAGAATATGGCGTACCAAGTAAGATTTACGTGCAAATGCTTTAGAGCAAATGTAACACTCAAACTGTTTTTCTCCAGTGTGGATGAGAATATGGCTTTCCAAGTTGGATTTCCTTGCAAATGTTTTAGAACAAATATTACATTCAAACTGTTTTTCTTCAGTATGGATGAGAATATGGCGTACCAAGTAAGATTTACATGCAAATGTTTTGGAGCATATATCACATTTAAACTGCTTATCTCCAGTATGAATGAGATAGTGTCTTACTAAATCAGATTTCTGTCCAAATGTTTTAGAGCAAACCTCACATTTATACTGTTTTTCTCCACTATGGATGAGATTGTGTGTTATTAAATAAGATTGACGTGAAAAGGTTTTCAAACAAATATCACATTTAAACTTTTTTCCTCCAGTATGGATGAAATTATGTCTTACAAAGGCAGATTTGTGTGCAAATGATTTAAAACAAATGTCACAATTAAACTTCCTTTCTCCTGTATGTATGTCATTGTGTTTTTCTAAGTAACACTTCAAAGTAAATGTCTCGGAACAAATGTCACATTTAAAATTCTTTTCTCCAGTATGGACAGGGTTGTGATTAGGCATTCTTCATGAACTCATAGTGGCTTCTTTAGAATACCATAGAACAGTAACGGCTATTCATTCAGTTACAGTATTAATTCAGCTCGGTGTTTATGTTGGTTGTAATTCAGCACTGTTAGTATACCTTATGTTGCAATCCAGCACTGTCAATATGTAACACAATCCAGGACAGTCAATATCAAGAACATATCCACAATTTTCTTGAGGTTATAATTAACATTGATGGTAATTCAGTATTGGCAATATCTAGCATGGAGCCCCATACAGTTATTTAGCATTGTCAAGTATTGTCAATGTGTATTCCATGTACAACTAGATCATCAAATGTCTCTCAATCTTCAACATTTCAGTTGCTTTTGTCCATGGATAATCGTATGTCCTTTGTTGTTCAAATTAGATTATATCATGGGCTTTCAATCTAGTTGAAAGCCCATGATTATATTTAAACTTTTCAATCTAATGTGAACCAGACTATGACACATTACAGTGTACTTCTATATTATATATGATATATTCTGGTTGTTCATTCCTGAGACCAACATAAAGTATGTAGAGTATGTTTGTCTCACTTCATTCTTCATTCTTGTAATTTATGCTACCAACTGATAGATAATGTATGATATAATGTCATAATCTCTTTGTTTAATCCTCATGTGAGCTGTCCATTCCCTGGACAACTGAACTACTCACATGTACAATGTACATGTCCTTTTCTGTGAGCCGCAGGCCTGTCAACTGTCCCGCAATTTGCGTATTTGTCACGCATTTGCTGAAGAATTTGAAGTCACGCCAGTTTTTTTTGCGTGACAGAAAATGTCACGCAAATACGCATTTTACCTGGTAATTGTCAAGCAAAAATATTTCTGTAGAAATTTTTTCGAAATATGTTTACGATACGGTAAAAATACGAACGTCGGAAAAAAACCGAACGCAATTTGTTCGGATTTGTCACGCGAATCACGTATATGTCACGCATGTTCATTGTAAATTTTCGTCCCTCCCCCCCCCCCCCCCCCCCCCCCGTTGACGCCATCGCGAGCGTAGCGAGCGCGAAAAATTTGAGGTGATCAAAGTTTGGCAAAGGTGCTCAAACTTTGGCCAAAGGTGTTTAAAAGTTGGCCAAAGGTGTTCAAAATTTGGACAAAAGTGTTCAGATTTGGACTTAGGTGTCCAACATTTTGAAGTCACTCATATTAGGTGGTCCCAAGTTGACAGCCCTGGAGCCGTCACTAGATATGTTACTAGGAGCAGAGAAAGGAAGGAGTAGGTACAGACTTTATGACCTCCACTTCAACAATAATTAGTCGCAGATACCTTTGCAAATAATGTCATGGTGATCTTGTTTTATAATTCAACAAAATAATGAAAGGAGTAGAACTAAATCATAAAATAATCAACAAAAAAATGTTAAAAAATTCCCAAATATTTGACACGTTATTAAATAACTTATAACAAAAAGCAAAGATTCAATATGACAAGAATTAAAGAGTAAATTTAAGTACAGGTATTGCAAGATTCTGTTTCTTGCAAAAGGGAAGGACCATTCGACGTTTCGTACATTACACATGTTATATACTCAGTAGGCCAAAAATGAGACACTCAGATATTTCGCTTTGAGTGGATTTGAACCAAATGTAATGGAACTTATAAGGGTCAGAATCATTTAATGTGTATGTAGAAGTCAAATGAGGAAGAAACTGCACAATTCCAAGGGACTTTGCTCATTTAAATAAAAGATGCTCATGAATATAAGGTTATATAAATAAGGTATATCTGGCTAGAATATTTAAAAGGGAACATCCAGGCCCGAAGCCAGGGTGGGGGGGGGGTTCGATGGGTTCGAGTGACCCCCCCCCCCCCCCCGCCCCGGCCACAAAATCTTTCAAAATAATGCAGTTTTTACCATTCTGAGCACTTTTTGAGTGATTTTGTCAATTTTTGAACCAAAATTGTCTCAAGTGAACACCCCCCCTGGAATTTTTCTAAAAGTGACCCCCTTGGCAAATCCTGGTTAAGGGCCTGACATCCCCTATTTAATTCAATATATACATTTCTGTATATCCTAATCATCAAAAAGGTAGTTCCATTGATCAGACATCTAGAATCTAGAAAACTAGAATCTCAAAGTAAACATAGGGAAGATTTTTAAAAATAAATTGTTTCCAACTGATATTCATTCAAACCTATACTCGTATCAAAGTAATTCTAAGAATATCTACAGATGTCACCCTTAGAATCAGGTATTTTTATTTAATTAGCATAGATTGAGGATGATTCCTATTTTGGAAGAATGCTCGTGTTTTGTAACATTCAAAATCTACAGTTAAATAAGGGTTTTTGAGGTTCGATGCTCAACCCCCTTGACCAAAAATTCTTTCAAAATCATGCAGTTTTTCACCATTTTAATCACTTTTCCGGTAATCTAGGTCATTTCTGGGCCAAGATGTCAAAAATGAATCCCCATGGAATTTTTTAAAAACTGAACCCCCCCCCCCTTGGCAAATCCTTGCTACAAGCCTTAAAGATTCCGATAAATCAGGCTACGTATACCGCCGTATTTAAATAAGGGGATTAGAAGGGTTTATTTCTTATTTAGGTATGCAAGCTATATAAAATTAGGCCTTCTAGCATGCATGTACTCGTGTGTACAATCAGCATGCCCTTCAATATTATATAAACACGGTGTTACTATACCAGGCTATTCAATATGTACTACATAATGTACACTATTTATGTGTGTACTATATGGGAATACGATTCCCCGTGAAACAAAAGACAAATACTTTTTATATGTCCAAAATGAGACATTTGATTGATACATACACTAAATAGTTTTATAAATAACATCTTCGAAGTATATGTAATAGTAATTTTCAATTTCAATGGTGAAACTTTCCTGGTTACGATGTATACGGGAAATCATCACGAGACGAAGATTGTTCGCCTTCCTGGCTTACCTCTGAATCGTGTACCTGGTAATCCCTTTATATAGTTTAGCGAGAGCGGTGCGCCTGCGCAGTTTTAAACTTTGGCGCACACTTTAAGAGGGTTTATTTCTCTGTTTGTTCATGTGATTAAAGCTGTTCAAAACCTTATTAGGTAGATACCAATGCTTTTTGTCACTCAACTTTTGGTAATTAAAAGTCTGTGCCTGCATTTAATAGTTATATATTGTCCTGTGCATCATTTTGAAACCATATCCTAATTTCTTTCACAAACCTTTTGTTGATTCTGCAATAATATCCAATTTGTAAACATTATTTAGCCTTTTAAGTGGGAACTTTTTTGAAATTTCCACAATGACTGCCATGTGATTCTAGAATTCTCATGAGTGTGACGTGACATCACAAGATTTTGCGTAAAAGAGGGAATAGAAATAATAGAGAATCTATTTTTTATTGAGTGATTTTTTATCAGTACATGTACTACATACACTCCACGCATATACAGAAAAAGATATAATACATTATATAATACATAACAAATAAGAAATAGAATAGTCAGCTGTTAATTAAACAAAAAATGAAAACAGAATCAAAATTCAAATGTTAGATTTCAACTGCTTTTCTCTGGTATGGATGTTATTGTGCCTTACTAACTGTGATTTCCTTGCAAATGTTTTTGAACAAATGTCACATTTTAAATTTTTTCTCCAGTATGAATGATATCTTGTCTAAGTAAATATGATTTTCTTGGAGATGTTTTCAAACAAAAGTCACAATTCAACTGCTTTTCTCCAGTATGGATGAAATTATGAGATTTCCTTGCAACTGTCTAAACTGCTTTGACTCAAACAGTGAAAACGCTAAATCATAGAAAAATTAAAGATTTTCCAAATTACTCTATACAGTCAAAATGCACTGTTACATGTTATACTGTGTTTATAAAGCTCAACAAAATAATGCTATAAATTTATTATTATATGTTACCATGGGCGTAGCGCTATTTTAGTACGCCAGTAGTACGCCACCACCACAGGAACAAGAGTTGAGTGAATCAAAAAACGAGCATTCGAGGGGGTTTGGGGTTCTCCCCCAGGAAAATTTTGAAATTTGGTTGTATTTGGAGCAGATTTGCAACTGTTTGGTAGTTGGTACGCCTGTGCGTACCCAGCATACCGGGCGCTACGCCCATGGTTACATGTAATGTATAGCAAAATAAAGAACCTTTCTATCATAATAAATGTGCTTATATATAATATACACAAAATCTGTAGAAAGTGAGAAACAGAAATGATAAACCTTTCATAAACCCTTAATTGGTTATCTAAAAGGTATATGGACAGTTTAATAATTGTCAGATTTATCATCAGTTGATATGATAGTTATCATCAGGTATGTTGATATTTTGCATATAATATTTTAAATGTGATATACCTAAATAAAGTCCATTTCTTAATTACATATACAAATGCATATACATATATTAATATATACAAAAAGCAATACAAAACAAGTGAGATGGAAACAGGAAATAAACATTATCTACTTTTTTCCTTCTAAAGGACATATAAATTGCTGTATTTATGTACATGTGTTTTACAAAAATCATAACAAGCAGACAAGATACCTATATTTTTCAATTTTAGTTTATTTATTTTCCACATGCTGATTATGGTCTCAGGGGCGTAGGAAGGTGTAAATTCAACACTACGCCAAAAATATGAAAAAATTGTGTCAAATCTTAACGAATCAAAACGCCTCTTTTATGCTCGTAAAAGGTAATTTTTATGGTAATACCTTTCTAATTGTGCTTAAAATGTTCGAATGTTTTTCATGATATAAAATCACCATGGAAAGCCGATCTTTTAAATCTCAACAATACAGATTAAAGAAACTAGTATGATCAATAGAAACATGTCCGTGATCAATGATACAACATAACTCTAATGTCTTCAACTTTTTTTTATAAGATAAATAAAGCCCATGCAAAAGTCAACGTGACATTTTGTGGTAAATTGTTTTTTCCTTTCAAAATAATTATTGGTGCCTAAATGCTTTATTTCCTAAAATAATAATCTATTATATTTCAAATAAAATAGAAATTAGGGTAATTGCTTTCCTAGAACTGAAGTTGAAATGTACTTTCATTTTTACTGGCTTAAACTTCCAACTATCATAACCCTCTACCCCAAATCACCTTGATTTTTACGCCAAAAAGTGCCATTTATCGTGGCCGAAGCTAGAAAAAAGTAACAGAGGAACAAAAACCTTGCAAAGAGTACTATTGAAAAAATCGAACATATTACATGGTTTCCAAAAACATTTCTTTAGTGTGCTCGAGATCACAAACAATTTATTAACAATGAGGAAATATGACTAAAGAACATAAGGAAATTATTAAGCTATTTCATTCTAGCTTTTCAACACTACGCATTGGCGTTTTGGCGTATATTGTTCCTACGCCACTGGGTCTAATCTAAGTGATTTTAACCACAATAAAAATTCTCTAAAATCTTCCAAAAGTTGATCAAGGATGATTTTTCATTTGTCTGTCCTACTTTTCCTAAAATAATTTTTAAAATCTGCAAAAACACATTCAACTGTTTCACACCTTTTTTCAGTAATTTTTTGTATCAATATGAAAGGGAACCTATAACATTTCAATTAGTCATACACATGACTTGCCTAACACATCAAAATATAAGTGCTCATTAATTTTCCAACACACTGTTCAAGTCCATGAGGTAAGGTCTAATTTTAGGACATGGGTATTGTATCCGGTATGCATGACCATATGATTTTTCAGAAAAAATTCTGTCCAATGTCCAATCCTTTACCAGTAGACGTAGCAGCAGTAACATGTCTACTACAAATTCTTGGTAAGAAGAGGACAGTTTTTATTATTCCTTTTTGAGAGAGGACATAAAACAACCCTTGCCACTGACTGGTGAAAGATATTGTGATTTGCTAAGTGGAATTTCTGTGCAAATACCATTGAACAAATGTTACATTTAAACTTGTTTTCTCCAGTATGGATGAGATTGTGTTTTACTAAGTAAGACTTCTGTGCAAATGTTTTAGTACAAATGTCACATTCAAACTGCTTTTCTCCAGTATGAATGAGTTTGTGTTTTACTAAGTAAGATTTCTGTGCAAATGTTTTAGAACAAATATCACATTCAAACTGCTTTTCTTCAGTATGAATGAGATTGTGACTTACTAAGTGATATCTTCTTGCAAATCTTTTAGAACAAATGTCACATTTAAACTGCTTTTCTCCAGTATGGACGAGATTGTGTTTTACTAAGTAAGATTTCTGTGCAAATGTTTTAGAACAAATGTCACATTCAAACTGTTTTTCTCCAGTATGGATGAGATTGTGACTTGCTAAGTCAGATTTCCTTGTAAATATCTTTGAACAAATATCACATTTAAACTTCTTTTCTCCTGTATGGATGAGATTGTGTCTTACTAAGGCAGATTTCCTTGTAAATGTCTTTGAACAAATATCACATTTAAACTTCTTTTCTCCTGTATGGATGAGATTATGTCTTACTAAGTTAGATTTCCATGCAAATGTCTTTGAACAAATATCACATTTAAACTTCTTTTCTCCTGTATGGATGAGATTGTGACTTGCTAAGTCAGATTTCCTTGTAAATGTCTTTGAACAAATATCACATTTAAACTTCTTTTCTCCTGCATGGATGAGATTGTGACTTGCTAAGGAAGATTTAAGTGCAAATGTTTTTGAACAAATATCACATTTAAACTTCTTTTCTCCTGTATGGATGAGATTGTGACTTGCTAAGGAAGATTTAAGTGCAAATGTTTTTGAACAAATATCACATTTAAACTTCTTTACTCCAGTATGAACGAGATTGTGTCTTACTAAACAAGATCTTCTTACAAATTTTTTACAACAAATGTCACATTTAAATTTCTTTTCTCCAGTATGGATGAGATTATGCCTTACTAAACAAGATTTCTTTGCAAATTTTTTACAACAAATGTGACATTTAAATTTCTTTTCACCAGTATGGATAAGATTGTGACCTGCTAAGTAAGATTTCCTTTTAAATGTCTTTGAACAAATATCACATTTAAACTTCTTTTCCTCTGTATGGATGAAATTGTGTCTTACTAAACAAGATTTCTTTGCAAATTTTTTACAACAAATGTGACATTTAAATTTCTTTTCACCAGTATGGATAAGATTGTGACCTGCTAAGTAAGATTTCCTTGTAAATGTCTTTGAACAAATATCACATTTAAACTTCTTTTCTCCTGTATGGATGAAATTGTGTCTTACTAAACAAGATTTAAGTGCAAATGTTTTTGAACAAATATCACATTTAAACTTCTTTTCTCCTGTATGGATGAGATTGTGACTTGCTAAGGAAGATTTAAGTGCAAATGTTTTTGAACAAATATCACATTTAAACTTCTTTACTCCAGTATGAACGAGATTGTGTCTTACTAAACAAGATCTTCTTACAAATTTTTTACAACAAATGTCACATTTAAATTTCTTTTCTCCAGTATGGATGAGATTATGCCTTACTAAACAAGATTTCTTTGCAAATTTTTTACAACAAATGTGACATTTAAATTTCTTTTCACCAGTATGGATAAGATTGTGACCTGCTAAGTAAGATTTCCTTGTAAATGTCTTTGAACAAATATCACATTTAAACTTCTTTTCTCCTGTATGGATGAGAATGTGACTTGCTAAGTCAGATTTCCTTGTAAATGTCTTTGAACAAATATCACATTTAAACTTCTTTATTCCATTATGTATGAGATTGTGCCTTACTAAGTTAGATTTCTGTATAAATGTTTGAGAGCAAATGTCACATTTAAACTTCTTTTCTTCACTATGAATGCGATTGTGTCTTACTAAACAAGATCTTGCTGCAAATTTTTTACAACAAATGTCACATTTAAATTTCTTTCCTCCAGTATGAATGACATTGTGATTTGCTAAGCCAGATTTCTGTCCAAATGTTTTAGAACAAATGTCACATTTAAAGTGCTTTTCTCCAGTATGGATGAGGATATGTCTCAATAAATGGTACCTCTGAGCAAACATTTTGAAACAAATGTCACATTTAAACTTCTTTTCTCCAGTGTGGACGAGATTGTGCTTTACTAAGGTAGATTTCAGTGCAAATGTTTTATAGCAAATTTTACATTCAAACTGCTTTTCTTCAGTATGAATGGTAGTGTTGTGACTTACTAAGTGATATTTCCTTGCAAATGTTCTAGAGCAAATGTCACATTTATACTTCCTTTCTCCAGTATGGATGAGATTATGGCTTATTAAGTTACTTTTCTGCATAAACGTTGTGGAACCAATTTCACATTTAAACTGTTTTTTTTCCATCATGGATGAGATTATGATTCGCTAAGGAAGATTTATGTGCAAATTCTTTTGAACAAATGTCACATTCAAACTTTTTTTCCGTATGGATGAGAATGTGACTTGCTAAGTAAGATTTCTGAGAAAACATTTTAGAACAAATGTCACATTTGAATTTCTTTTCTCCTGTATGAATGAGAATGTGACTTACTAAATCAGATTTTCCTTGCAAATGTTTTGGAACAAATGACACATTCAAACTGCTTTTCTCCAGTATGAATGATATTGTGTTTTACTAAGATAGATTTCAGTGAAAATCTTTTACTACAAATGTCACATTTAAACAGCTTTTCTCCAGTATGAATTAATTTGTGTTTTACTACGTAAGGTTTCTGTGCAAATGTTTTAGTACAAATGTCGCATTTAAACTGCTTTTCTCCAGTATGAATGAGTTTGTGTTTTACTAAGGTAGATTTCTCTGCAAATGCTTTGGAACAAATGTCACATTCAAATTGCTTTTCTCCAGTATGGATGAGATTGTGACTTCCTAAGCTAGATTTTCTTGAAAATGTTTTGAGACACATGTCACATTTAAACTTCTTTTCACCAGAGTGGATTAGATTGTGACTTGTTAATTTAGATTGATGCACAAATGTTTTAGAACAAATGTCACACTTAAATTGTTTTTTTTCCAGTTTTGATGTGATCGTGATTAGACATTCTTATAAGACGCTGATTCAGCACTGTTAATATCCAGTTTATACGCGTAATGTTGTTTCACAATAGTATAGCTATACAGAATATCAAGGACTAATTCATAAGGCTGATCAAATGGTTTACTTATACACTATACTCCTTATACATTTCCTCAGTTTTGTGTACACACCACAGACACTTAATCTCGTTAATCTGAGTCTGAGGTCAAATGAAATAAGGCAGGCTGTGGCCAATTTAGTTCACGCTGCTTTGTATACTGCAACAGACTGGTATATATCCTAGATATGCTTTGGGATATTTAGCAATGGAAATTCAGCTTATATATTCGATTGTGGTCCATGGTGCTCTAGGCATACATGCCAAATACATGTTGCAGTTTGCAAATTGTTTAGAACAGTAGAATAACCAAGCTCATTTGAGTTCTATGCTATATTCTCCATGTAATATAGGCAGGTTGTTGTCATATTCTGGTTCTTGATTTCAATAATTTTGTTCATAAATTACTGACACTGTTTACTATCCATCTATGATCCCTCGAGGTATTTGAAGGAAAAACACTGGTTTAACAGTATGTTCTCTATCTATGCTATAGAGGGGTCTGACGAATGCTTTAATCTGTCAACCACTACTTTGCACTATTGTCCCATTGTTCATTTATCTGATTTTATAATACTGGTTGTTATGTCTTTTGCATGATCCTTACAACAACTGTCTGTGCTACTAAACAAGAACTGTTAGCAATTAGATGTGACCTCTTACTTTTGAACAGTTACTTTTACATAAATACCAGCAGACTTAAGATGTACCTGCGCAAATGATATCATGGTGATCTTTCTTTATAAATCAACATAAGATATTGAAAGGTGTAGAATTAACAGGAGATACATTGTAAAATAATCAACACTTCTGTTTACAAATTCCCCAATTTTTTTTTTTTCTTCATTTATAAGGGAACAAATGGTAAAAATTAAGACAAGACCTGAAGCTTTAAGCATGAGTGTATATTGCTGGCTTCAAGTTACCTTCAAGGGAAGAACCATTAGATTGTGGGGGAAATCTCAATGTACCATTCTCATGTCAAATGTGGATCTCAAAGGATCATATTTTTATCTGAATTAGGCACTCAAAAATCATATTGTGAGTTTAATTGCCTCTCAAAGGATCTTATTTTGAGTGACCCAAAGGATCATGTTTAGAGCCAAATAGGGCTCACAAAGGGTCACATTTTGAGTCAAATGGGGCAACCAAAGAATCATATCTTGAACAAAATGGGGCACCCTAAAGAGAGGCCTCCAAGAGCTCCCCCATCCCTATACACACCCCCATATGTTTATTCTTATTATTCTACTTCAAACTGTACAGATGATCAATTGAGGTTTCAGTAGAATGTCACAGTGGCTATGTTTATCATGAGTAAATCTCACACGATTATCTTGAACAATTTTTGACATTTATTAAATCCTCAGGAGAAATTGTGAAATTAGCATGTCTATAGGTTAATTTAAGCATGGGTCTCATTTGTTTATCTGTGTGTACATGTATATCTATATCACAGTTAAGTCAGGTTGATCTTTGATTCTACCCTTTGTACCTCCTTTGTATTTATGATACTTTGTGTGCACTCTTTATACGAGTGATAAATCCTTGATGAAGACCATATGAGGTAAAGTAAGAAAATCTTGAGACGATATTTTCTGTTAACCTACTCTCAGTAAGTAATATCTTTTAATAATTAAGCTCCCATATTTAAGTCAATGTAAACTTCTTTTTATTCTCTGATTTCATGAACATTAAAATTGGATGATCATCTGTCATTGTCAGAGACTTGCATGACTAGCTATTGTTGAGTCAGGGTACTTAGATTCATAACATTTTCTGTAGTTTAAAACAGTATACTGTATAATGGAGTAAAAAGCTTATGTTGGGAGATCCAAAATACTGTGGTAAGTAAATATTCACTACCTGCAATATATTTTGGAAAGGTACTTACATTTTCAGGATTGAACATTATACAGTTATAGGGGAGTTATAGGGCTTGGATTGGATTTGGTAGATTGATACACCCGGATGTGGAAAAAGTAATTTCACCTTTCAATAAAAATAGAAAATGTAGTAGACCCCATAGATGTCTATATTTCTGAGGTGTTTAACTTACAGTGGTGTTCAATGGACTAGATGCGAGTAGAAATGATCTTGATTTACGTCATTAAATATTCAAAATTCAGTCAAAGTGATGTCATATTTGAAATCTACATGTAAAAATACATCTAAAAATATGGTTTCACAAATTGTTTATCAACTTTGAAAATTTAATCTTTTTTGAAAATGTGACTTCTAGCTCGGGTTGATTCCCCATAGACCCCATATTAAAAAAATCACAAAAAAGTGAAATATCTTTTCTTGTATTGGACATATAACATTTTCTTTTACTTGACATACTTTAATTTGCATAACTATTCAATACATAAGGGCTATATGAAAATTGAACCACTAAAACAGATGTAATTTAAGTTAAAAGGAACTTTCTCCTATATCCGCCATGCTATCTGACCCGAGCGAGCCACCTGGTGGTGAAACTAGTAACTACCTACTCGCATTTGCGTTATTGAGATGTTTATCTTTGATTGAGGTCTTTGACTTACAGGGTGATATTCTAAATAAGGTGTTTAACTTACAAAAGTGTTTACCTTACAGAAGTGCTTAACTTACAGAGATATTCATGAAATCAAAGTATTAAGCCTACAAAGATGTTAACTTACAGAGATATTCAATTAAGGTGTTTAATTTACAAGAGTGCTTAACTAACAGAGATATTCATGAAATGAAAGTGTTAAACCTACAGAGATGTTAACTTACAGAGGTATTCAATTAAGGTGTTTAACTTACAGAAGTGCTTAACTAACAGAGATATTCATGAAATGAAAATGTTAAACCTACAGAGATGTTAACTTACAGAGGTATTCAATTAAGGTGTTATGTAAAACCTAGAGATGTTAACTAACAGAGATATTCATTTGAGGTGTTCAACTAAGAAAGTTTTTCAACTCTTACAGGTGTTTAACTCATATGTTTAAGTTACAGTGTTCAACTTAAAGCTTAATGTATTCTGTTATATACGGTAGGTCAGTAATTTGATGAAGTGTTGTCTATGGTTCTAGCCAGGATAAAGATACCAGTTCTTCAACTCGAAAATGGGAAGAACTGCCTAACCTTAGTGACTAATATGTCATGATATGACATCTAAAGAGTCAATAAAAGATATATTCAGGCCTGTCAACTTGGGAACACCTAACATGAGGGGGGGTAGGTACGAAAAATTTCGAACGGAATGCGTGACATATCCGTAATTCGCGTGAAAAGTCCGAACGAAGTGCGTACGTTTTTTTCCCGTCGTTCGTATTTTTGCTGTGTAGACGATCTTTTTTAGAAAATTTTCTCCAGAAATATTTTTGCTTGACAATTACCAGGTAAAATGCGTATTTGTGTGACATTTTCTGTCACGCAAAAATAACTGGCGTGACTTCAAATTCTTCAGCAAATGCGTGACAAATACGCAAATTGCGGGACAGTTGACAGGCCTGTATATTCAACTAACCTAAGATGATGCTGTACATCATAGATGTTTACTCTGGAACTAACAATTGTACAAATTTGGTGTCACAGATCTTCCCATGCTATGTACTTCAAAATACCATATTTTAAAGATGCGCAAGACTTTGTATTCCTTGAAATAAAAAAAAAAAAAAAAAAATTAAATATATGTTGATGTTCCAGAGACACGATGCCTGCACGTCGTCGTCCCAGGGAACAGCCAAGAACTCCAAGGCCCCGCCCAGTGACCCAGTCAGCTAGTCAAAATACAGAAGAATCTGATTCTCTTGCATGGTTCAAGCCAATATTTCTGACGTTAGGCATAGGTATTTTGAAGACTATATAATAAATTTTATGTCACTCATGGTTTTAAACCTCGATAAAAAAAATCCCATATATGGTCAACACATCTGTTTATGCAAAGCAATAAAATCTCACATTGGCCAATTTTATTTGGCGTTAGTTGTATTGTATGTTAGTTGTGATGATTCGATGCCTGCCAAAACAATTAACAGTAACATTTTGTGCCTGCTCAGGTGTAACCAACGTCTACACCATGGATATGAGGTGTTCAGTAAACCAAAATACGTACTTGAATAGCTTTGCTCGGCTCATATACTTACCCTTTTTCTCTCTGTCTGTTGGTCGGTCCAAGTAATTGCTGATTTTGACGTAAAAAACGTCAATTTTTTCTGTACAAAGTTAATCCTTTCCAAACATAATGTGGTTACAATTCACTGTATGAGCACAGGGCCATAGGTCCTTTGTACATATTTATATTTGTTTAAGGTATTGGACTGATGTTAACACTGGTACAACACTACAAATTAGATTCACAGGGACGTAGGTCCTTTATACATATTTACATTTATTAAGGTATTGGACTGATGTTAACACTGGTACAACACTACAAATTAGATTCACAGGGACGTAGGTCCTTTATACATATTTATATTTGTTTAAGGTATTGGACTGATGTTAACACTGGTACAACACTACAAATTAGATTCACAGGGCCGTAGGTCCTTTATACATATTTACATTTATTAAGGTATTGGACTGATGTTAACACTGGTACAACACTACAAATAAGATTCACAGGGACATAGGTCCTTTATACATATTTATATTTGTTTAAGGTATTGGACTGATGTTAACACTGGTACAACACTACAAATTAGATTCAAGTAGTGGCGATGTGGCTGATCTTGAGTGGTGGCAACTTTCTGTAGTCTACCAAATCTACCCTAGATCTTTTCAAGACTCAGATGGTGATGGGATCGGAGATTTAAAAGGTTCAATTTCTGCAATGTCTCAAATTCTACTAATTACATTAAACACCCCGACATTTGACCTCGGAATCCTACAAATACTCGGACTTCAGCAAACATGAGGTTTGGGCAAATTAGGTTCAATTCTTATGCCGGGCATAATTTGCCCAAACCTCATGTTTGCTGAAGTCCAAGTATTTGTAGGATTCCGAGTTCAAATGTTATTAGTTTCATTCAATAGTTGATAATTAATGGAATAGTTTAAAGGTTTCATTTCATAGAATACACAATACCTTGTTTCTATTTTATTATCAAATATATGTATGTCATCAACACAATTATTTGATTGCTACGTCACGACCACAAGTGGTGACATATTGTTATTGTCTCCAATTTTTTGGTGGTCATCAGCATTCAGCATCTCTAACAAATCCCAAGTGGTAACATTTTGCATGTAAATGCCATATGTAGTTTTCTTCTTCCTATTCAGGAATAAAATCCCGCCTTGGCTATATAGAATATCTAGGCGTTGGTGCGATATGGTTAAGTCCAATATACAGCTCTCCTATGGCAGACTTTGGATATGATATTGCTGACTTTAAGGATATTGATCCAATCTTTGGTAACATGGAGGATTTCCAGAATATGATAGAGGCAGCACATTCAAAAGGTATGTATGAACTGTAAGTTTTATATTTATATCAGATATCTGCATTTATAGAGGATATCCTATGATTTATGAGTGATATGATTTTTCCACGAATGGATATGATATCTGCACGAGTGAGCGTAGCGAGAGAGTGCAGATATCAATATCCATGAGTGGATTAAAATCATATCACGAGTAAGTCATAGGATGTTCTTTTTATTTTATAGTTAAAGTCATCATCAGAATCGTCGGAAATTAAGTGGATTTTCGAATTTTCCAAACGATCCGGCGGAGTTGACACTTAGCCTTGTTTTGAGTCTGAAGTAGCAAAAATCCATAATTCATAGCATACGGCGCTGTATGTCATGGCTAAAACACCGTATGCTATGGTTAAGTGAAAATTTGTCAAAAATATCATGTTTTACCACTGATTACAAAAATATCGTTTTTATTTTGACATGTTATCCTATGAATATCATGCTAACTATGGAATAATGTAGCATATACTGGTATTGTGCATAATATATACCTCAACAAAGTACATTGTTTTCATAGCACATTATACAAATGCCTATAACATATATAAGGGTTATGTACTGGAAGGTTTTGGATATGAGGTTTATCCAGAAGGAAATATCCATATCTAACAAGGGAACCCCATATCCTAACCGACTGTACATAACTGCTTTATCCTATACCCAGTAATGTTTTCTAAAAAATTCTAATTTTTTCAACATTTTTTCAATTTCTTTTTCAACATTTTTTTCAAAGCGGGAAGATATGCCCTGGAAATATGGCAGGATATATGGAGGTTCAGGATATGGAAACCTCAAAATCAGGATAGGGGATATATCCTATCAACTTATCTCCCTAAAACTCTTCTTGGCATAGGATAAATAGGGGTTATGCACTGGGAGGTGGTGGATACAGGGAATATCCCAAGGGATATACGATATATCTTCCAGAGGGCCGAACTTCCAAATGAGCTTTCTTTGCAGTGTGTTCATTTGCTAAGAATTCATCCCCATTTCTTGATTTAGATTTTGAATTTTGTTCACTCCATTCGTTTGGCAGTTGGCACCTCTGTCTCTTGTTAAGTTCAGTGCTGAAATAGTTATGATGTGAGTTCCTGGGCCATCGCATGTCCCGCATGTGCAAACTACATTGAACTAGTACTAAAAATTTGTATTACTTACCAACTGCACATTGATTTATTTTACTACAAACAACCAACTTATGTTGCTATATGTCTCATTCTGGACACTTGTTTCAGGTATTAAAGTTATAATGGACTACATTCCCAATCACTCCAGTGATAAACATCCCTGGTTTGAAGCAAGCAGACAGAGTAAATCCACTCCATTTAGAGATTACTACATATGGCATCCTGGCAAGAAGCTTTCCAATGGTAAAAGAGCCCCTCCAAATAATTGGGTAGGAATTTCTGATTTTGACAACGTAATATTAGATTTTTTCCATATTTTATCACGGGGTACCATCGAATAATTTTGGCAACGTACCGGAGAACGACATTTTACTAAGAAATGGCAATAATTTAGCACAATATATTTTTTAACTAGAGTTCTACTTTGATTTTGACAAAAGTAAGTATTCCATGCAATGGCTATTTCATTCATGAGTTTGTAGGAATTCTGTTGGAACCCAGTTCTGATCAAGTACGAAGTTATTGAAATCGGCGCAGTCGGACTTTACTCCGAAAGATGGTTTTTCGATTATAACTTTTTACAACATTTAAGTATAGACTTTTGAAAAAATTACAGAATAGTCCTTATACTATTGAATAATTCTGTTATTTCTGATTCACACGACTCTGATTTGTTTAATTAAAAAAAAAGTTCTAAAAATATTACTTAGGAACGTAACCGGAGCTGGGAACGTAACCGGAGCAGATCAGTTGAATTATATAATTTAAAAAAATAAAATATATGATTTAAAGCATATGTATTAATAAATACGCATTCGAACAATCCCGTATGTTTTTAAATTAGTATATGTGCTTTAAATCATATATTTTAATTTTTTTGATTAAATAATTCAACTGATCTGCTCCGGTTACGTTCCCAGCTCCGGTTACGTTCCTAAGTAATATTTTTAAAACTTTTTTTTTAATTAAACAAATCAGAGTCGTGTGAATCAGAAATAACAGAATTATTCAAAAGTATAAGGACTATTCTGTACTTTTTTCAAAAGTCTATGCTTAAATGTTGTGAAAAGTTATAATCGAAAAACCATCTTTCGGAGTAAAGTCCGTCTGCGCCGATTTCAATAACTTCGTACTTGATCAGAACTTGGTTCCAACAGAATTCCTACAAACTCATGAATGAAATAGTTATTGCATGGAATACTTACTTTTGTCAAAATCAAAATAGAACTCTAGTTAAAAAATATATTGTGCTAAATTATTGCCATTTCTTAGTAAAATGTCGTTCTCCGGTACGTTGCCAAAATTATTCGATGGTACCCCTTGTTTATTAATATTTTTAATGCATAGCCCCTGCCTTTAAAAATGCTCTGAGGTGAACCTATTTTTATTGTTTTGATGTTTTCTTTAAATTTATGATAATCATAAGAAACTGACCCCTGTTTGATGTTTCAAGTCAGTGTGTTTGGGGGTTCAGCATGGATAATATTATGAAACTATCCCCTGTTTGATGTTTCAAGTCGGTGTGTTTGGGGGTTTAGCATGGATAATATTATGAAACTAACCCCCGTTTGATGTTTCAGCTCAGTGTGTATGGGGGTTCAACCTTGGAATGGCACCCTGTTACAGATAAATAATTAATTAACTTAATAAATAATATTAAGAAACTGACTCCTGTTTAATGTTTCAGCTCATTGTGTATGGGGGTTCAAACTTGGAATGGCACCCTGTTACAGATAAATAATTAATTAATAATTAAATAATTAATATTAAGAAATTGACCCCTGTTAAATGTTTCAGCTCGGTGTGTTTGGGGCATTCTGGTATGCCAGAGCCCCTCTTATCTGCAGTTTGGGGTTTAGCATTGATAATATTATGAAACTGACCCCTGTTTCATGTTTCAGCTCAGTGTGTTTGGGGGCTCAGCCTGGGAATGGCACCCTGTTACAGAGGAATACTACTTACACCAGTTTCTTAAAGAACAGCCAGATCTTAACTGGCGAAATGAAAATTTGCGCCAAGAAATGCTGGTAAAATAAAAATTGTTTATTTAGGAATATTTACAGTAATCATCCTTTTATTTATTTTCAGTTCAAATCCTAGTATAAATAGATACTTGAAGCTCTCTTTTTAGAAAGTAAATCAAACTATTTAATAAGGGACAGTGGAACACTCATAAACATTATTAAACATTGTTTCAGGAAATGTCAGTTTAATTGCCTTATGATAAAGCAAGATTTCATCTCCTGAGTAAATATTGAATAAGATCATTGAATGAAAATAATCAATTACACCTTTATGGGAGGATGGGGTAAGAATCAGGGGTGGATCTGGGAACCAACAAGGGGGGGGGGGCAAATTTAATGTCAGAGAAAAGAATTTGGGCCGCTAAAACCCTAATGTGGGCTCAACTTTTGAAATTTTAAGGCCCATTTTCTTCAAAATTTGGCCTGAAATTAACAATAAGGCCTTAAAAGGTCCAGTAATGACTCAAAAGGCCCACTTTTCGGGGCCTCAAGGCCTTTTTTGGTCCAAAATCATTTTGGGCCCATTTTTCCAGCCCCCCCCCCCCCAGATCCGCCAGTGAAAATATATGTATTAAATATATTTTTTACGATAATTTCCCATATGTTGGCATAGAAGATTGATTATCTTACCTCATAGACTATTACTGTCTTGTTTCAATTTTAGGATGTATTTAAATTCTGGCTTGACAAAGGTGTGGATGGATTCCGTGTTGATGCAATAAAACACATGTACGAGACAGAACATATAGAGTTGGATGAACCATTGAGTAACATCCCTGGGACAACTCCAGTGAGTACTGTAAAATATTGTATTTACTCAGTGAGTACTGTAAAATATTGTATTTACTCAGTGTATTTACTCAGTGAGTACTGTAAAATATTGTATTTACTCAGTGAGTACTGTAAAATATTGAACTGTAGTTTATTGTATTCAATCCAGTGAGTACTGTGAAATATTGTACTGTAGTTTATTGTATTCACTCCAGTGAGCACTGTAAAATATTGTATTTACTCAGTGAGTACTGTAAAATATTGTATTTACTCAGTGAGTACTGTAAAATATTGTACTGTAGTTTATTGTATTAAATCCAGTGAGTACTGTAAAATATTGTACTGTAGTTTATTGTATTTACTCCAGTGAGTACTGAAAAATATTGTATTTACTCAGTGAGTACTGTAGTTTATTGTATTCATTCCAGTGAATATTGTAAAGAATATTGTACACACTCCAGTGAGCTGTTGAGTATTGTATTCACTCAAGCGAGTACTGTAAATTATTGTATTTACTCCAGTGAGAACTGTAGATTGTATATACTCTAATGTTTACTGTAAAATGTTGTTTAATATACAGCCAGGACATTTTAATTTTACTGTTACTGAAGAATCTTTTGTTGAAAGCAAATCTTGATACAAATACTCAAATCATGACATTATTGTAGATTTTTAATGAGAAACAATGAGCCAGAAATCTTGTTATTTAAATAATGTATGATTTTTTATTACAGGATCAGTATGAGTCTTTGGACCATATCCATACTGCAAATGGCCCAGAAATTCATGAACAAGTAGCTCTGTGGAGGCAGCTGTTTGATGAACATCAGGCAAAAACAGGGAAATACATGTAAGTGAAAGCGCCAATGTAATTCGATGTTGAAACAATGTATTGTTTATAGGTTTATATATAAGAGAATAGATAGAAAAATGTTTCAGTTTTTATTGGCCCACCCTGTATATTATATGGAAGTTGACTGAAAACAATTGAAAATTGAACATCAGATATAAGCAGAGAAAACAGACTTAAACTCTCTCAGAAAAAATAGTAAGTAGATCTTGATCAAAGATTCTGTAATGATTGATTTACATCATCCTTTAGATTTATAACCTGTGGATCTTAATTTTAGAAACCTATTTTCTATTTTAGCTACATGGTGGTAGAAATGTATGACAACAATGTAACCAAGATAATGGATTACTATAATTCTGGGGCTGACCAACCATTTAACTTTGGTTTGACCCCTCCAAGGGGTCTTTCTAATAACTGTGGGGGTCTTTGTGTGAAGGGTTTGGTCAATGACTGGCTTACAGCAATGCCAAAGGGAGCCTGGCCAAATTGGGTGGTGAGTATATTAAATATTTGTTTTATTCCTCAGAAACATGATTGAAAATTTCAGATTTCAGGTGCGTATACCTGGAGAAGTAAAAAGAGTTACATAATCAGGAACATTCCATCTCTTAAAGTTTTAATCAACTATAATTAACTAGGGAATTTCAGACATATCTTTCCTTATAACTTAAGAATATACCTTTGATGCCAAATTAACAAACGTTTTGTTAAATCAGCCAGTTTTACCAAATTGAATGGACACTTAAGGTGAAATTGGCAAAATTTGGGTAAAATGAGAAATATTCACATTTTTGAAACCCTCCCTTGGCTGGCTTCTGGTATGTACCATTTCTGTTTTAATAGGTGGGTAACCATGACCAGAAGAGGATCAGCACTAGGATTGGTCCTGGGTTTACAGATGCTGTCAACATGATGCTTTTGCTGCTTCCAGGTGAATATATAGTAACTAATTGTTAATGCAGTAAAATCTGTATAGTTGATCACCTTTCTTAACTGGAGACCTGTCTATGTGAACACTTTTTCTCACTTCCAATTAATCCCCCATTGACTCACATTAGTTATATTACAGAAAATGAGCACATAAATGTAAAAATATACAGAACATAGAATGGTATGAGACAGAGCGATTCTTAAAATGAAAGAACTTCTCAAAAAAAGTTGTGCTCCATCAACTTTTTTAGATAATAATTTAATATGATTGTCCAATTTAATACAGTAAAACCTGTCTTAGTGAACACCTCTCAGTCTCTCTAGTGAACACCCTTTATCTCTCTAGTGGGCACCCTTTATCTGCACATACTCTTCTGGCTTCTGTATAAATTGCCCTCTCTGAAGTGAACTACCAACAATGAATGTTTTTCCTCAGCAAAAAATGTTCACTGTACACAGGTTTTACTGTACATGTTTATTGCCACTCAGTCCATTGCATAATAGGCACGCAGTCCATTGCCAAGCTTGAAGAGATTGCCATTTGTAGCTGTGAGTTCCAAACCCTGGTCCCATGGATGTTTAATTTCCTCTTTGAGTTACCCACTTCACTAGTTAAGTATTTCTCGTTAAAAATTCAAAAATATCCCATTGTACTTTAGGTACACCTACTACATATTACGGAGAAGAAATAGGGATGGAAGATATTACTGTGGCATTTGAAGATACTTTGGATCCTTTTGGCAAACTCTTTGGACCAGTAAGTACCGAGGTTATTAAATTTTATGCCATCAAGAAGTTCCTTCGGCAGTCAGCATTTGTAACAATTGTCACATTTTGTAATTGTTACTGTAGAGAATTTACAATGTAGTGATTATCTGTACTTTTCAGCGCTATTGTTTTTTCTTAATGTCTCTGTGACTTTGACGTGCCGCATTGTGTAATTTTTGCTGAAATGAATTTATTCTTCAGGGCCGCTACATGGAGTTTTGTCGTGACCCAGCAAGATCTCCTATGCAATGGGACGACACAAAACAGGCAGGGTTTTCAACAGCAGATAAAACATGGCTGCCAGTTCATCCAGGCCACGTCACTAGAAATGTAAAGGTATGTTAGGACATTCTTGTTTTAGGCTTGTAGAATCTCTGGTCCCCCATATATTTCTTCCTACTTTCAGCCTTTTTAAAGAGTTAAACCAATATGGTCTGATTAAAGTGTAAAATCTATAACTTTCCTCAATTCTATGGTCAGTTTCTTATTTTAATTTTCAAATATAACACGCTCGGTGATCGGATGAAATGAATGGAGGGGGAAGTGGCTGATTTTCAGTAGAAACTTTTAAAACACGTTACCATACGTTATATAAAAAAAATAATCGAAAATTATTAAAATTGATTGGAGGGGGGACTTATGTGTCTATAAGACAATATGATAAGAGATGTAACTTGACTTTATTTCCAATACCTCCATATGTCCCTAGTTTTTACTTTTCAGAGCTGTAACATCAAGTTGTTACTGAGTTCATTTTTCAAATACACGAATTTGCAGAAATTTCTTCCACCTTAGAGACATATTACTCCCCCCTCCATTCACTCCCCCTCCGTTCAATTTTAATTATTTTCGATTATTTTTATCTAACGTTTGGAAACTCATTTTAAAAAACGGCAATGAGATTAATTTTGTGATAAAAACGTTGCTTATGTATATTTATTACAGGCCGTGTAGACAATTGTTGCTTGATTTATAGCAAAAACATTGACATTTGCACATTGGTGATGCTGCGCCGTTTTTAATAGATCTTTTATCTTAGAAGTCCATCAGTTCAAAAAAAATCCTAGAAGACCTAACACATTTCCCTGTGCACAGCACCTATTCATTTAGCCATTTGATTGTAAACTTTCTCTTGAAAAAGGAAATCTTCTAGATTTGTTGAATTTTGTCGCGAATATCAGCTACTCCCCCATTCGTTCATTTCTTCCAATCACCTGGTGTTTGTAAGAGAAGGTTGAGTTTACACCAAAAAATGGAAAAACAATGGAAAATAACCAGGCTAGTTCTTGGAAACAGACACTCAAAGAATTGTTTTCCTTAAACAGTTATGTTCTCTAAAATTAATATACATTTATTTCAGAATCAAAAATTAAAAGGATTCATTCTTTTCAGGTTCAGCAAAATGACACAAGTGAAACCTCAAGCCTGCAAGTTTATCGTCACTTAGTCAAACTTCGTAAAAATGATGTGTTCAGAGTCGGGAACTTCCATTATGCTGTGGTCACAGAGACAATATTTTCATTTGTAAGACACATAGAAAACCAGCCATCATTTTTAGTTGCTATTAACTTTGGACATAAAACTACTAGAACTGATTTCTTTGAGGGAACGCAAATGTGGCTTCCGGAAGATGGACAAATCGTCTTGACAACAGGGCATCTAAAAGACGAGGATTTGGTGATTGATCAAACTGTAGATTTACAAAATATTTCGTTGGAATCAGGAGAAGGAATCGTCATTGAATTCTGGCGAAAATGATTTATCAGATAAAAAAATTAATACATATCCAATGAAGATGTAGGAAGCCCATCAAAAGGTCAGATTCATTGATTGTTATTTTATTATTCAAATCCAACAGATGAAATAAATACTTGGAGCATGTACATTGAAATTGGTGCTCTGAAGTGTATAGAAATGTAAAAATTTCAAAATTTCACTGGTGGCAATCATGGCAAAAAAAGTATGTTCAGACTTAAAAGTGGTTACCCATGCTGTAATTTGCTCAAGAGTATATTTGCTCAAATTTAATTGTAACATATTCAAGTATTTTACACTGCAATGTTTTTATTATTTTAATAAACAGAAATAAAAATATTTTTAAGAAAAACTGTTTATATTGTTATTTTTATATTATATTTGATGTTACAGGAGATACAAAATATTTCATATTTTGGCTTGCTTTGAGTGGATTTGGAACAATAAACCCTACTCTATATCTTACAGATATCAAAACATTCACAATCCACTAGATCTCCGAAATTATGAACATATGAAAATCCGAGATATCCTGCTGTTCTAATAGTAATCTAATAATTGTTTATTTATTCCATGTTATGTTTTTGTCCATAAATCATATCCTATGAGAGAAGTTGTAGTGGTCTGGATATAGGATTTATCCCATCCAAATTTTAAGTGCTCTTGATCTTTGTTTGATTTAACTATGTATGACATACAACACCATGTCAATATTTATTCCATAGTTCATTGAATGTGATATCCAATACAGATTGGAATATTAGATTTATCCCATAGTGTCATTAGAATGTGTTATCCTATAAGAGTCCAAGATTTCTCTCTACCATAGCATGTGGCTGTCCAACTCTTTCCTGGAACTCTTGTGCTGTAAATAAAGAAAAAATATGATTAGATGGAGATATTCATTGAATGCTCCCCCACATTTTATGTAACCACTGACCACTACATGTATATAATAAATATCTGTTACCAAACTATTTCTCCCTTGGCTTAAAAAAAGATTTTTAAAAAATAATTAAGATCAATTTCACAGTTTAGTCCTGCATATACCCTGGAGGAGTGGCCAGAATAATGTGAGCTAAGGCAACTCAGGTATAAGGTTGACAAAATAGTTATAGTTTTCTGGCTTGTATACGGGACTATAACGTTAAAATTGTATGAAGGAGAAGATGGCTGATGAAGAGGAAAACCTCAACAGAGAAGCGGTATCACATGTTAGATTCTATTAATGGTCCATCAAGAAAATGGAAGATAACCTCTTAGAAATAAACCAAATAGTAGAGTGGTCATTTTTGTTGCTATGTTCGGCTTAATCTGAGTTTACAAATGCTTTAATGGGGAAATACATCAAATGAAAAAAGATAGGAAGATAAGTGCTTTGATGGGAGATGGTAGCAGCCAATAAGTGAATGAATTGTTTGTACAAGATACTCAGGCCTATGATCTTTTGCGAGTGTCATTAACACTGTTTTTAAAAAAAATTGAATCAATTCAGGGGTTTCATAGCAGCAGGCAACAGACCATCTCCACCAGTTATTTTCACAAAATCACCTGTTGTTTTTTAGGGACTTTACAATTTTTCTATGTTAAATTTATGATTTCCTGCTGTTTTCATTTATTTAGCCTGTAGTGAGAAATTCTAGTGAAACTCCTGCAAATGCTACAATTGGTGCCAAATGTTTTTTCTGTTGTAGATTAAGGAATAATCAACATGTTAAACTTACTGTTGAAAATATCTTCAAAATCAATCATTTCATCTCTGCCAGTGAGTGAGTCCAGCATAACATGGGAGCTTGACATTCCAGGTAACCTTTGCATCTGAAACACATTGCAACATAAATTATAATATATGGGATATTTTGCGACACAAAAATGGGATTATGCAATATTGTGTACTAATGTAATAACATGAATTTGGGGATATATCGCAACACAAGAAATATAACATGCAACACATGAAACTTGTTTATAGTATAAATTTTGGATCTGTAAAAAAGTTCACTGTAGGCTTGTATTCACTGAAGGATATGGCAGGGTGGCTTAAGATGTGATTAAAGTGAAGTGGGTTGGGATACTTTGATAGATTACCACAAATGCACATAAAATTGATATTTTCATCAAAAATATATTCAATATCAAAGATCAATAACTCAAATATATGAAGCTGAATAGAAATAATTTAGAGATGAATATCAAAAGACTGAATCTGAATAAAATAAATCCAGATTTGAGTATCAATCGTATAGGTTTTACCAGTCAGAAGTCAATGGAGTAATGATGGTTTCTACTAGAGATGATTGACTAAAACAAATTTTATCAAGCATTGAAGCAATCAGATGCTGCTCTCTATTGGTACACTACGAAAACCACCTGACATTCACCCAAGAGTCAATATTAAACAAATGTAGGAAAATGGAGGTCAACATTTGAGCAGCTTTGGAGATTTTTAGACAGAATGTCTTATAAGAATTTTTCAACCAATGAGAAAAAATCCAGAGGATAACCTACTTTACAAAAATCAGTAAAATACAGTAAAATCTGTGAAAGTTACAATTTAGCTAAGTACCTTTTGTGCTACAGACTTCTCCATATGTAACCTCATAGGTGCATGAAGTCCTTGTGTATTCCTTAGCATGATAGCATCTTGCCTGTCTTTATGTTCACGCCACTAAATAAACAATAAATAAAAAATCAAATTCAATATAAATATCATATATTTTTTATAACGTTTTCTCAACGTTGTAATTGGTCAAATATGGCAATCATGTTCTTCTGTAAGACACAAAAAGTGATATTCAATTATAAAGGTAATCTATCAGAAAAGGTGAATCTTTAAGTTGTTATAAAATTATTGAAAAAGCAATATTGTTGAAACTCACAATTATTTGAAGGCCTGGGTCAAGTGGAATGTATCTATGCTTGTGTTATTGTAATTAGCATTAAATCCAACCCAGTTCTGGGATTTAAAGAAAAAATATATACAAGTATAAAGCTTATATTTTCGTACTTACATGTTTTTCTGAATATTCTAGTGGATGTGATGTTGTGAGATCAGATCTAACAGTAGTTAAGCTGTAAAACAGAAAATATGCAATAGACTGCACTATACATACACTAATTAAAGATATATCAGTGATCTCCCCATGTCACTTTTACCGGGGGCTCCCCCTACTTGAAACCAAAGGCCCCCCAGTTGGCACCCAGTTGGAATCTGCACTTCAACTTCTGATTTGAAAAATGAGTGAAGTAAGCACCTACACTGAGATATTGTGAGTGTAGCGAGTGCTGATTTTTTCAGACTTGAAATCTTGCACCGAGTTGAAAATTTTTTTTGGGGAGAACACTGTATATGGATTAATAATTGGTCTAAAATAGACAAGAATGTGAAATATTACCACCTTGCCGGGCCAGTTCTAGGGGTTTTAGTGCTAGTTCAGAAGGCTTTCATTTTACTATATTGATGGGAACAATATGTGACGTCATAGTGGCGGTCAATATAGCATTCCAGACCGGTCGAGAATGCATTCAACGACTGGCAATTTTCCCCGGGAAATTAGATATCGTTCAGTGCGTAAGATTTTCTTGCTGTTTCAGTCCTGGTCGTCTTCGGTCCTCGGTCCAATAAATCACTATATTGCCCTTCGAAATGACGTTATTGTACTATTCATTATATCAGTATCATATTCCCGCTCTCTTTAACATCTTTACCATACACATAATAAAAAAACAATATAAAGAAAGAAAACAATAGAAAGCCAAACGATACAATTTAAAGGTACAAAGGAGTGATTACACTGTTCATGAACTAGTGCTCTATTTAAATCTTATGATATTGACCTAGAAGGTATCGAACATGTCGAATTGAATTCAATGTTCGAAATTTTTTCATATTGAAAGAACATCAGGTATTCATCGAAATACTTGTTTATGGAAAAAATGTCAAAATTACCCATAAGTCATAACATCGGGAATCCCATATGCATTCTCTTTAGGGAGTGTGATTTTCTTGGATCCCTCAGCTACAGGGCGAATAGGCAATATTCCGTGACTCTGAAAGTATAGTAATAAGCTTATCAATTAGACAAAAAATATCAAATCATATACCTAAGGCCAAGTGACTGGTCATTACAATTGATATACTGTACTCCGGGTATTGTTCGTGTGCGATTTAATTTCGTTTTGTTCGCGAATGTAGTAAAATCGCGAACATTTATCGTCGCGAAATTTATCTTTTAAATCACTGGGGATTTGACCCGGGACTTTTGATATGTTGTTTGGTGTAAAACGTTACGTCCAGTGTTGTTGGGCGAAAATGTCTAACATTTTTAATTGGCTTATTAGGCCAACAAAGGCAAGAACTGTTGACGACAATGATATCCTACAAATTGAAGTTGAAAAAGCCATTCAAGAATATTCAAATAAATGCCCTAAACGTGGGAAATGCAAACATTATTCGGATTATAAACGGGCTAAAATAGCCAGATACGCATTGATTCACAGTAATCGGAAAAAATTCAAATGCAATCCGCGAAATGTCATCAACTCAAATCCGCGAAATTAAATAGCCGCAAAATTGCAATTTTGAAAAATGCGAAATTTTATAGCGTCGAAATTTACCCGGAGTACAGTAATCCAGAATGATGCATGTGTATTTTCCTAGGAATGATACATTGATTATGTGAGCATCATTTAAAAAAGATAACCAAACCAAAGAAGAATCAGTCTTATCATAGAATATTCTTTTTTTAAAATGAACAAAAAATGTTTGTTCTTAAACAAATATACCATTCACGTCCAGTTTTGTTTATTCCTGTTCTTTCAGATCTTCATCCACATTATGTTTTTTAATCTTTGATTATTAATAAGGATAAATACTGTATGCTCCTTCTCTTCTTTAAATCATCAAACAGATTGTGATGGTCTGCATTTTCACCATTGCTGTTCACAGTAATTATGTGAATTTTAAATTGCAACAACATGCTAATGGTGATTATGACATAGCAGGCAGATATAATATTCCTCATAAACCTGCTTTACAGAAATACAGTGATTACCATAAATAAATGACACCCGGATTTGCTGAAGTGAGGATTTCCCAAGGAGAATTTTGAAGTGACCAAATATTAGTAGTTGAGAGTATACAAAATGTAAACCAGAACAACGGCAACGCCAAAGCGTAGCGAATCCCATCGAACATTTTTCAAAAGGGGCACCTTCTACCAAAAGTGTCATTAGACAGTGTGCCATGCTTATAATATTCACATACCAAATATGAACAAAATCGCTCTACTATTTTTCGAGTTATAGTAAAATACGTTAAAATGGTGGCCATTTTGAAAAATGGCCGCCTTCTACTAAAAGTCTCATTAGACAGTGTGCCATGCTTATAGTATTCACATACCAAATATGAACAAAATCGCTCCACTACTTTTCGAGTTATAGTAAAATACGTTAAAATGGCGGCCATTTTGAAAAATGGCCGCCTTCTACCAAAAGTGTCATTAGACAGTGTGCCATGCTTATACGTATTCACTAGGGGTCCCGCGATTCATCGATATATCGATGCATCGGCTCGTTTGGTGACGATACGAGCGTATCGATACGAAGACTCAAATATCGATACACCAAAAATATTATTAACATACCTGAAATCCATCATATTTTGCCGAAATCTACTGAATAATTGACTTTTTGAGAAATTGTTTTTATATTTTTTGTTTGGTTTCTCACTGGACATGACACGCCCAAAATGTTGTATAAATGCGAACAGAATGCTTAGTTTTGTTTTATAATTCTATATACTTTTTGACAATTTAGTATGAATAAATATAATCTTTGAACTTTTTATTGGATAGAACACGTTAAAAAATTGCCTACTAATATTGATAACTCTAATAAAAAACCGAACAATATTTACGTTCGGAGCATTAATGTTGACCGGAGTTTAGAAATTGAAACTTTTTGAACGTTTTGAACACAATTGATAGAATTATGGCTGTGTAAGTATCAAACATGGGTAGTTGTGTTATCTTTATATCCCCAAATAGAAAATCTACTGTAGTACTTTGGAACATTCCTCAGTAAAGGGAAAGCACCACCGGACTTCAAAAAAATTGCAAAATATAGCTGACTAGTGACTACTACACAGCAGGTAGGCTTGATCCTGGGGGCTTGATACTTGACTATAGTTTTTATGCTGCATCTGAATCAAATCTCAAAGCACGTGATAGACTTTTCAACTCAACCTCAGCTACGTCAGTGTTGCACCCCCCCCCCCCTGGTTCAACCGACTACACTATTATGTATCGTATCGTTGCTCGTATCGTGACCTGAGTATCGAGATATGTATCGTATCGTTACATAATGTATCGTGGGACCCCTAGTATTCACGTACCAAATATGAACAAAATCGCTCCACTACTTTTCGAGTTAAAGTAAAATAAGTTAAAATGGCAGCCATTTTTCAAAATGTCCACCATTTTTCAAAATGGCCGCCTTCTACCAAAAGTGTCATTAGACAGTGTGCCATGCTTACAGTATTCACATACCGAATATGAACAAAATCGCTCCACTACTTTTCGAGTTATAGTAAAATACGTTAAAATGGTGGCCATTTTGAAAAATGACCGCCCTCTACCAAAAGTGTCATTAGACAGTCTGCCATGCTTATACGTATTCACATACCAAATATGAACAAAATCACTCCACTACTTTTCGAGTTTTAGTAAAATAAGTTAAAATAGCGGCCATTTTTCAAAATGTCCGCCATTTTTCAAAATGGCCACCTTCTACCAAAAGTGTCATTAGACAGTGTGCCATGCTTATAGTATTCACATACCAAATATGAACAAAATCGCTCCACTACTTTTCAAGTTACAGCAAAAATCGTAAAATAACGAGAAAAGGCCGCCATTTTTCAAGATGGCTGCCATGTGCTTTTTTTAATATCTACATTTCTAGCTTTATTAATGTCCTATATAATATATTTTACATTTGAAACATATTGCTATTACAGTTTTACATATTGCAACTAAATTACTGTAAAATCGGCACTAAAATGGCCGCCATTTTGAAATGAGCGGCCATTTTGAAAATCGGCTTTCGAGCAGAACTTCTACCCCCATAGGGTATATGTATACAAAATATGAATAAAATCGGGCCAACGGTATTTGAGTTATTGCCCGGACGGACGGACGGACGGACGTACGGACGGACGGACGGACGGACGGACGGACGTACGTACGTACGGACGGACGGAGGCGTTCCCTATATCCCTCCGAACTTCGTTCGATGGGATAAATATACAAAACTTAAGGGATGTGTATCTAGACATTATTGGACATTCGAACATGCCTGTATTCATGCTTTCTATAAACTGTAAACAAAGTCAACATTTCACCCGGGGTATATTCACGAAGAATACCCCTGGTAATACGTGTAATGTCATAACAGCAGGTAGTAGTTTTGTCGCGATTAATCGATACATCGTGATATACATCGCCAAAGCTGATTCTGGCGATGCATCGATGTCTGAAACAATACATCGATGTTTTAAAAAAAAATTAATTTGCTAAAAGTCGCCCTTTCTTATCTTATTTTGACGCAAATCGCTTTCCTTTCTCATGTCTTATTTCATATTCCAATGTTTCCTGATATTCTTTCGCCTTAAAACTGTTTTAGCTAGTCGAAATGAACCATTAATCTAAAAAATAACTTTACTTTCATTTCACCGTTACTAGAAGTTCCCGGATGTACCAGCTTACTCTTATTAATTTGTTGCAAATTCGTTTGCAAAGGCAGGATGGGCCTTGGAAACTATGGCACATCCAGGTGGAAAGATGCCAACACAGAGACAAGAAGGAAGATTGTAGTACAGCAGATAAGGCAATCAGAGGAAGAGGGTAGACAGGTGAGGTTAGCACAATTAGTCAAACAGGGTGCATGGACCCACTGGGAGTCTACACTCGATCGACAGCTCTCATGGAAAGACATATGGGATATGGAGCAGGGCAAGATTAGCTTCTTATTAAGAGCAATATCTGATCTTTTACCATCTCCTGCCAATCTCACTACCTGGGGTCTTAATGAAGATGCATCATGTATCCACTGTGGAGCTCTGAGAAGTAACATCCAACACATCCTGAGTTCGTGCAAGGCTGCACTTGCAGAGGGAAGGTACACATGGAGGGATGACAAAGTTCTTCAAAAGATTTCTCACTGACCAATCACGGATCATGAACAAAACGAATGCAACTGTAAGACCAGGACCAAGGGCAGATATGTTGCAACCCTTAGAGAAACATTTTGTGGGTGCTAACGCAAATCCTAAAGGGAAGGTTTTGCCTAGCGGTAGCAGGCACACCTCTCGAGGAAGATATGGCATCTTACAACAAGCACAGGACTGGGAGCTGAGAGTAGATCTACACCAAAGACTCACATTTTCCAGCTGTATCACGACAACAAACCAAAGACCAGATATGCTTTTATTCTCAGAGGATAAAAGAATTGCTGTTATGATAGAACTGACAGTACCTTGGGAAGATCGCATTGAGGTAGCACACCAACTCAAAAGCGCAAAGTACCAAGATCTGGTTGAGGAGATAGAGGCCAAAGGGTGGAAAGTTCATTACTATCCCGTTGAAGTAGGTTGTAGAGGATTTCCATCAACATCTCTCAACCGAATGTTCAAGAACGTAGGACTCCCACCCTTATGGCTCAAGAGAGCGAACAGAGCAGTTGGTTCTGCAGCAGAGGAAGCCTCCTGCTGGCTCTGGCTGAGGAGAAATGACAAATGGGCACAGGGGAGACAACATTAACCAATGACTTATTAGACAATTGCTAATACATTCACCGAGGGTTTGTTCACCATCCCTTTACCAGCTGGGGCAGAGAAGTGCGTACAGCAGGTAGCACTTAAAGGTCGACCGCTCTGGCTATAGTGGTGTTCAAACCATCGAAGAATGTAAAGGTTGGTACCAACATGACAAACTGACCGAGTGAGTTAAAAGGCAAGCAGGAACATCGTAGCATAGCACTCTCTTGTGTTTAATCAAAGTGTCCTGTTCGGTATTTTAGTACATTAGCGTTCGGTATTTCAGTGCACTTTTCTTGGACTTTTTCTCGATGTACATCGGGATGTGCATCGATGTTTACTACTGAAAATTGCCGATGCATCGATGTATGATTATGGCACAACGCGACAACACTAGCAGGTAGTAGTAATTGCGGACCATAATGAATATTCAAAACATTTTGCTCAGTTTTCATGTTCAAATCGTAATATAGACCTCAGAGCAGGGATAATATCCTCAAATACACCCCTTAAGCTAGGCACAAAAGCTTTTGAAACTATAGTTAACGTTTGTGCCTAGCCATGCGGCTGTATTCGACAATATTACCCCTGCTCTTCGGTGTATAGTTCTTAAGTATGAAGTCTCAAATCACCATGGTCTGAGAATGGTGATAGAAAATAAAGATGCCATTTATTTATGGTGACCACTATTTGTACCATTTGACATACAATTCTTATCAGTAGGCGAAATATAGCTTTACATCCCAGATGAATGGGCAAATATGCTATGTCTGCCTACAGGCCCGTAGCCAGGGGGGGTTTGCAGGGTTCGGGCGAACCTAGACTGTATCCTTCGTCTGAATAAATATTCAGACTGTAAGTCACCTATTGTAAAATGTGGTGTTGTATAAATGTTACAAATAAGTTTGTTTAATGATAAAATGATTACCCTATGAAGAACTCACAATATTATTTTTTCGTATATTGTCCTCTTACTGAAGATATTCATAAAATGTACAGACGCTTCTTGTAGCGAAGCCATTGATTAGGTCAAGCCATTTTGGCAATGCCAATTCTCACGATAAACGAGATTTAGCCAGTGACGTCAGTCTATTTGTAAACAAATAACACGTGGAGCGGGAGCAACATTACGGAAGCGTATTGCTAAATTCCATTTGTGCGGGAATTTATTAGATCTAGTCATTTATCATCATTATCCCGATTAATTTTCTTCATTTATAGTAAATAGAGCGGAAATATTCATGAAGAAGGCCGAGGTAATCAAGTGGTCATGTGTTATCCCGTTCCCGGGAACGGGATAAGTCATGTGTTGTCAAAGTTCAAAATTTGCATATCTCGTTTGGATCTCGTGAACTCAAACGTCCTTGACATTGATTTCGCGATCTACTTATGAACACATCCTGAAGTTTCGGTGAGTCTGAACATTTCATTATTTTATATCAACTTGTGCCCGCCTTATACAAATATTTTTGCTTCTAGTTTAAGATGAACATCTCTTCAACATATTCACCAATTTTCAAGGTGAACATTCTTATAATAAACGAGAAATTAATGTGCAAAAAATATCACCGCGATTTCCATAGGAAATATATCAATCATAACAGACCGAATATTATATTCGGTCTGTTGGATACATACTAGGGCGAACCCCCCCCCTGGCCAAAAATTCTTTCAAAATCATGGCAGTTTTTCACCATTTTGAGCACTTCTCGAGTGATTTCAGCCATATTTGGGCCAAAATTGTCAAATGTGAACCCCCCCTGGAAATTTTTGAAAACTGAACCCCCCCTTGGCAAATCCTGGCTACGGGCCTGGCCTACTATGTCATAATCGCCATTCGCATGTTGGTGCCGTATAAATTAAAGAATAAGGGTAGATGCGTCTACGTTAAGAAGGTACAAACAATGGACACAATAATGTAACGACCCTTGGGCGCGTCCGTCGGGGAGCTGTAATGTACCGAGCCCGATACTAGACTCGAAGAGTGTGCTCAATTCAATGCCCAGTACGGGAATTGAACCCAGGACCTTCCGCTCTCAATCAGACGCTCTACCCCTGAGCCATAAGGGCTAGCCACTACAGCTGAGACTGTAGTAGCAACTTGCTATCGAAGGTCATTACAATAATTTACGCGGGAACTTATTTTCCCAATCACGGAAACTGCCGAAGAACCATGCCGGTAAGCATGAGCTATTGTACAGTCGCATAACAAATCAGAATAAGAACTAACAATCATCATATCTGCATGTTTGAAAAATACAATTAGTGTCTAGTTGCTCTTATATAAGTTGACAATGAATTTGCAAAAAAAGAAAAAAATGTCAACAATTTTTAGCTAGATTTCCAACTCAATTATTCAAAACTTACAGAACATGAACGTGCAAAAATAATTGTTTAAAACAATAACTGATATATAAAGACTAAACTAAGTAACATATCACAAAGAAATCAAGCTAACTACATGTAAAAACAAAGAAAGAAATACAATTCTGTGGGCGATAATAAATTTCTTACCATTTCGAAGATTTCCCAGGATGCACTAGAAATGACGTCACATTCCTACCGGGATGTTTCTTTTAGCTGCTGTTCCTCCAATAATTCTAAATAATATCCAATTATTTCACTTAAATTTTCACATTTAGCCTCATCAAGACATTCATAAAAATAAATGTAAATATCATTTCAACTGTTTCAGCATTTTAACAAAACCAGAAGCCTAAATTGGGTAAAATTATTGAAATATGTTTACAGTTTAGAGGGAGTAAGTTTTATAAATATATCAGTTAATAATATTGGAGTAGCATGACCCTGATTGGTTCACTTGAACATTTTGAGTAATATCCTTTGAAAATCGGCAACTATGGATAAGATAAAATAACACGAGACAAGATAAGTAATCTTACTACACACAGAACATGAGATTTAAGTTATATTAAGTCAATGAATACAGTGGAATATAAATCATACTGGACATCAAAAATCTAAGTTTTGGAAGTTTTTATAAAAAAAAGTTTTAACACAGCTATCAAACATGGATTACTTCCATATGATTCATGCTGAACAGTCACAGATATTGAAATACCTTGCAGTATTTATGATCACAATTGCAGTATCAGGTAACCAAACTTTTTCATTCTATGGTTGGTTCTATCTTCTTTTTTCATTCTATGGTTGGTTCTATCGATACCTTATCCCTCGTTGGTCGCCCAAAGGTGTATTTCACACCCGGGGGTTTCATTTCGCCTTGCGGTGGCAGCAGTGCAGTGTACAAAGCCCGATGCCTGTCATAAAGTATGCTATCCCCGTGATGTTATTCCCAGATCATCTTCATGTTGCAGCAATCTTTTCCAGCTGTCCTTTTTGGTTTTCGTTGAACATGCACATCACACAGCTGTATTACACCTGACGGTGACCAAACCTGGAAGAATATTCACATACTGAAGTTACATTACTCTATAAAGTAACTTCAGGATGTAAATATTCTTCCAGGTTTGGTCACCAATCGTTGTCAGGTGATGTTCCTGTGCCACATCAGTCATACATGTATTTTAGGCAGTGGTGTTGTGATCTATATTTGTACGAGAGTACGAGCCTACCTACTGTATCATTCATGCGTTTAGATAGCACAAAAACTCTGAACAATTACAATGAAAATGGTTGAACGATACCTTTTCTAACTTTTGAGACAATTGCTCGGTCTGACACAAAAATTTGACAATTCATTTTTTCATTTTGCTTTGCCAAACATTACAATGATCCTGACTCAAAATACCATTTTATAGACAATAATTGACATCGCAGGGATACTGAAACCTGGAATCTATATTCTAGTTCTACTATTCTCCATAAGATGAATCAAAGCACAAATCAAGCAATTGGATTAATTTTAAGTATCCTGTTTCCTTAAATTCCGGAAATAAGGATTATCCTTTTAGAAGACAATAAGCATAATACTTATTTGGAATTTTCATTTTCTTGATAGGACGACTCAACCTTTATCCAGCTAGGCTATAAAATTATTCAGATACTTTATACAGGGTATACGTATAATGTTACCCTTTGCATTCGTTTGACTTCACTTCTTAAAAGAGAGCTTCGTCTTCACTCTTTCAAACTAAAATAAACCTGTGAACTCACCGCGCCAATCAGTGTTCGTCGGCCAAATTTGACCGACGTTCTATATATGGTCATTCCTTCTGACGTCATCGTTGAGCCCGGAATTGACCAATGACATGCACATATTTAATTAGAACGCATTAGGCGTATGTTTGTTCAGGCTCGCTGAATGGTGGAAGAAAGGTCAGCGCATAGGTCAGAAGTGATTTATATTATTACCCAAACTGTCACCGGTACCCGTCGTGGGGGCGGGGCTACTAAACTGTAATATGGTCTCTACTAGGCAGAGTGTAGTTTAACTAGACTCTGCACGCAGGGTAGTATAATGTATATGTCCCTTTATAAGTATTTTGTGACTTTCTCCAGATAACATCCTCCAAATGCAGGGCTCCAGACATCATCTACTCTGTTCTTTCCTTTTCTGTTAAGAGTAGATGATGTCTAGAGTCCTGTTTACTAAAGATGCCAAGGATGCCAAATAAAAACTTTGTCTAAAGTTAGTAAGCTCCTGTGTTTCAGGGTTTTATGTTCATATATCTAGGAAAATCTGATCTGACGTATTTTCAGTTATTGTAAAACTTGGATTGTTTAAATTAAGCCTTTTGATGCAATTTATGTTATTGGAAAAAATGCTAATAAAGTTGGCATTCCATAGAGAGCTGCATCTCAAGAGGTCTGCATTTATGTAATTACATTTAATGGCAGCGTTACAGTTATAATTGTTAAAATTGGTTATTACTCTACATGTACTTTGGAGTATTTGTACAAGATTGCTATCAACTGAATATACATAGTAAAACTTGAGATAGATTTGACGGTTTGGACAAAGCTTGCTATAAGTGTTAACATTGAGTAGTATTCACATTAAAGGCCCCATGCAAAGTTGAACTACCTTGGCTTATATGGCAGTCTGATCCATTATCCAAAATATGAAACATGATTGAAACTTTTTTTAATTTCTTTAACTGTTCTGCAATGGGCTTCAATTGAAGAAACAAACAAAATGTATTTATTTTACCATTATTTTTTGACAAAGTTTAATACTGTATATAATATTTACTAGATAGTTTTAGAAAAACGCTACACTAGCTGGGATAAAAAATCGTATTGAAAGATATTCAAATTAGAGAGGTATTCGGATATACAAGTTTTACTGTAGCTCCCTTTTATACTGGAGACCAGCCTCTAAGGAACACTTATCAAAGTCAAGATGCCATTATAGATCAGTACATAGCTATCATTGAGTATACAAAAAGCTATGAATGAGATTGTGAGGTAATTCTGATAAGATTTAACTCAAGATCTATGACTTTGTGAGGTGGTATACCTGCAGAATATCAGGACATTTTAACCTCAGTGATCTCGCAATCCAAGCATTAAAGTACATTTATGCTTCACTGCCTTTGAAAATGAGAACAAATCAGCATATTTTGACTAAATGTTGACAGAATTCTGAAAAGAGATTATTAGATTCTTTAAAGTTTTTAGATTTCCGTTTGCTTGGTCTCATCTGGACATCTCGCTAGACTTTACCAATCTCAGCCAATCAAAAGTTGAGCGCAGAATTAGTTCTTAACTAACCCTTGAATAGGTGAGATTTCCAGTTAAGCTGCTCTACCCCCTACTGCTGGTGTCAATCACACCCTGTGCCTGATCAATCAGTCAATCTTTGAGCAGAAAGAGATATATTTATGTTTCCATATTGGTCATTACTTGGTCCAGGATGGTGTCAGAGGAAATGACCATATATAGAAAATCTATTTGGCGATGACAAGCTCTGGTTTGATCGTCTTGGTCAAAGACTTCTCTTAAACTCTAAGATGTATGTACTGTATTTAGAGAAGCCAAGTTAACCAAATGCAAAGGGTATCTTGAGCAATGCATGTTGTAACTATGAGGGGGTGTATTGGCCCCCTTGGCACCCCTGTTCCAGACATGTACCTAAGTACAACCAAGTATTTGGTCAGACTGCAATAACTTTGTCTCCCACTCTTTGTGTTATAGATAAATCTCAACAGTTTCATATCTTTTTTGTGTTTCTCTAGAGAATATATGAAGTGTCATTGTTCCTCTTATGTCAGGATGCTGAATTCAATTTTTATGTCATTGCCAGAAGTGTTAACATATTGTTTAAGTCTCCAACTTTTTTGAGACATTCAGCAGTCTGTTTCTGTAACAAATGGCAGGTGGTGACGTTTTCCATATTAATGCCTTGTTTAAAGATAGTTCTTGTTGTAAAATTGTCTGTTTAGCTTTGTAGTACTCTCTGATTGGCTAAACATTAACTTTCAATCAGTCGGTTTCAGTCAGAGGGTAATGTGATAACCAATGATCTGGGGTTAATGCGTTTCATTATAAAATAAATGTCCCCCACATACTTAAAAATACAGTGACTGCCATTTTTATTTGATAACTGGGTTTTATCAACTATGCAGTATTCTCTTTTTGTAATATAGATATATTTTTTTAAAGAAATGAAATCAAACTACTGGAACCAGTAGTAACCAGAAATGAGGATATTCTATGACTTTACCAATGGCCCAATGTCAATATGATATAGGAAGTGCCATCGATAAATGATTAATTACGTGAAAGGAAATAATCAAACCACAGATCTCAAAACATAACCAAATACAAGTAGATGATTAAGAAAAATACCACAAGTTACAGTTGATCTTTTTGCCCTGTTTTGAGCATTTGTAAGTCAATCAGCCCATCCCGCCCTGGACTTCAACTTCGTTACAGAATTAACTCAAGTGCAGGCATAGAGAGTCTGATATGATATGTGCCCTTGCAAATAGGATAAGTTAGTAGAATATATCTATATTGGTCCAAAAGAATGAACCCCTGACAAATATTACTTAAGCCATGGTAGTGGGGAATCTAACAAATATCTCCCCCAAAATATGATATAATTGGCATTCTTATGCTAACGATTATTGTTTTTTATTTAAATCTTTTAGTCAGTTTGCATGTTTTTGAGAAAAAATCTGAATTTTCAAGGACAATTTTGGAAAAAAATAAAATTTCAACCCCTGTTGGAAGGTTCAAAATTCTGTCTCCTGGTATGGGCACACTAACAACCATCCTTTAGGGGGAATTATCGAGGTTTTTTTGGGGGGGGGAATTAGCCTTATAATCTCAAACAGAATTGTTTTGACACAGCTGTACCCAGAATATTTTTTCGTTCTAGTTGCTCCTGGAATAGTTTTTTATTTACCAACCACAATCTTGATTCTCAAGAGGGCTCCCCAAGAGGGGACACTGAGGTCGCTTCAGTTTGTCACATTTAAATTTACTTGTCATATTTTGTCAGTTTCATTGCTTTTTAGTCTGTCAAAGAATTTAATGCAACAAATGGTTTGTTATGTTCCATTTTTTGATTGCTGGTTAGAATAAGTCAAATTTACTTGCATATATTTACATTCAGGACAAATTTTCTATTTTTGTCACTCTCAAAACTCTTGTCAGTCAGATGCATGTTCAAAATTGTCACATGTAAGGATATATTTGTCACATTTGTTCATTTTTAAATACCCAAAAGTCACATTTAGTCACACTTGTAGGGGCCAGGTCGCCTCACATACCCCTTGAGGAGCCCCCTCAAGGTTTTCATATAACCACTTGGAATTCGAAGATGAATCTAATATACAAGGACCTCTTTGGTATTTGGAAAGGCCCAGAATAGCAATGCATAAGAGCTTCTGGTAAATCAGATGTGAACAGAGGATTAACCACAATCTCATCTGATAGCACAGCTAATTGGGCTTCTAATTGAGCATTTGATATCTGTTTGATTATCTGCAGTCTATCTTCTGAGCTATAAATAAGTACTGTACTATGCTAACATGAATTCACCAAAATATGACAGAGTGTGGAGTATATTTCCTGAACTTTTGAATAATTGCTATAATCTGTATAATGGCCTACATGATCCTTGAATCTGGCCTTATCCTGAAGTCACATACTACTGTATCTACATGTAAATAAACATAAATTT